CTCTCTCTCTCTCTCTCTCTCTCTCTCTCTCTCTCTCTCTCTCTCTCTCTCTCTCCCCTCTCTCACTCTCTTCTTTAAAATAAAAAAGTGATCTAACTCTAGTCTGCTCTAGGCTGGGGAAAAGAGAAGACTGAGAGATAGGACCCACAGCACTTTATAACCCTGCAGTTCAGCCACTGCTGACAACAGAGGACAAGGTGGGATACAATCCCCTCAGCTGGGCTCCTCCCCCTTGATAACAGAAGTCTTCAAAGGAATTAGCTGAGACAGTTGAGCACAACACGCAACACAGCTAGACAAAGCCCGGCACAGTGGTGCATGCCTGCAATCCCAGCAGCTTGGCAGGCTGAGGGAGGAGGTTTGCAAGTTCAAAGCCAGCCTCAGCAACTTAGCAAGGCTCTTATTAGAGAGACCCTGTCTCAAAATGAAAAAATAAAATAAAATACAAAGTATTGGGGATGTAACTCAATGGTTAAGCACCACTCAGTTTAATCCTCAATACAAAAAAAAAAAAAATCAGCTGGACATGGGTGCATGATAAAGGGAAATGGAATGGGCAGCAGTATTCACAATAGCCCTAATACCTAAACTTTTGAGTATTCACTGCATGCCAGGCAATTTACAGCATGGTAGAGTTTAAACAGAAGCCATCTGTTTTCAGAACCCTTGCACTATAGCTTGGAACGTAGGTGCCTGCCAAAGGCCCATGTGTTAAAGGATTAGTCCCAGGGTTGGTGCTACTGAGAGGTGGTAAAAACTTTAAGAGGTAGGGACATGGTAAAGGTCCCCCAGTCACTGGGGCATGCCTTTGAAGGGGATAGCGGAACTCAGCCGCTCTTCTTCCTTCCTCTTTCTCACTGAGCCATGAGATAAAGGGTTGTGCTATGCCCCATGCTCATACCATGATAATCTGCCTCACCAAAGGCCTAAAACCAACAGGTTCACCCCATCCTGAACCTCCCAAACTGTGAGCCAAAATAAGCCTTTTCTCTTTATGTACTGATTTATCTCAGGTGTTTGTTACAGTGATAGACAGCTAATATACATTGCTTTTCTTACTATACCTTACTACCTCTAAATAAGCTGAAACAAAGAACCAAGTGTATTATTTATGTGGGGGAAAGGTGTAACCTTTTGTGTCCTTAAATCTGACCTAATGAGCAAGACAGAGACAATATATTAATTTTTAAGATGCTGATAATTTTTCCAAACTCATGATTTTTATCTTTACTTTAAACCAATTTTCTTTGGATTTCTAGAGTTTCTCATCTCACTTTTGGAACCAAGGGAGTCAAAAGTAATTGTTAATGCTTCCCCATGCACCTTTAATCATGGATATCTATCATCATCTTTGGTGTATCCTCCTGGACAATTATGAGTTGCTTTTTAATGTCTTCCATGTAGAACTAACAGTTAAGTCCTTTTTTTAATTTTAATATTTATTTTAGTTTAGTTTTCGGCAGACACAACATCTTTGTTGGTATGTGGTGCTGAGGATCGAACTCGGGCCGCACGCATGTCAGGCGAGCGCGCTACCGCGTGAGCCACATCCCCAGCCCAACAGTTAAGTCTTTATCTTGGAATCATGGGTGGACTTTGTAGCACATGTGGCTGATTTTCTTAGATTGCTTTGGTTCTTCTGATCTTGGTTTTCGTTCATTCCCTCCTTTGACATTCAAAACAATTTCTTCCTACATTCCTTCAATAGCTTTAAATAGCATCTCAGGGGCACAGATAGCAGAAGGTTAAAAATCACCTTTATATCTATTCAACTGACCTGCCTCCAAAAGAAGCAAAATATAAAAAAATAAAACTGCTGAAGCTCATGTTGAAATTCTCATCTAGTTTTCTGTTCTTAACTATCACTGCTTCATCCTCAGTCTTTCCCCTATGTTAGAGAGACCCTGTCTCAAAATGAGACCCTGTCTTCCATGTTCAGAACTAAAGACGGTGTTAATAAAAAGAAACTAGCACCTTAAGGTGACCAGCCCACATAAACCAACACAACTTTTAAGTCCATGTCCCACAGTACAAACCATTAACCCAAAAAGCTTGCACTGAAGTCCCCCAAATCAATTCCAGGGCATCCAGACTTCTCTTTACAACAAGTAATAGAAGCCAAGATTATTAGGGTTACCCAGGGACCATACTGAATCCTGGGGGTAGGTCTTCAGGTGGCACCTGGTATGGATCTGTTTTAGTCAGCTTTTCCACCAATGTGACTAAAGAACCTGACTGGCCAATTGTAGAGGAGGAAAAGTTCATTTGAGCGCTCATGGTTCCATAGAAGGCCAGCTCCATTCCTCAGGGCTCAAGATGAGGCAGAACATCGTGGCAGAAGAGTGTGGTAGAGGGAAACAGTTCACATGGTTATAAGGAAGCAGAGAGAGAGGGTCTCCACTTGCCAGATACACATATATGCCCCAAAGTCACGCCCCAATCTCCACCTCCTCCAGCCATGCCCCAACCTTTACCTCCTCCAGCCACACCCTATCGCTTCAGTTACCACTCAGTTAACCCTCCAGGGGTTAATTTACTGATTGGTTTAAGGCTTTCACAATCCAATCATCGCTCCTCTGAACTTTCTTTCATTGTCTCACATGTGAGCTTTTGGGGGACACCTCATATCCAAACCATAACAAAATCCAGGACTTCATAACTGATTTCATGTTCCATAACTAAGCCAAGTGATAGGCAATCCCAGACCCCTAAAGATTCCTTGATGACACTATAAGAAAAAAACAATGGCATCAAACTGTTGGCAGGATTAAATGTTGGCAGTTGTCTGAGACCACAGTCTAAGTGGAAGTTAAGACATTCTAAGGGCAAAACTGATATCCATGTCGAAAACTGTGTTTGACCTTCCATTTGCAAGTGAGACACCTAGAGAAATGTAAGAACTCACATTTCTGCATTAGTCCTTGCTCTTCAGCATCCGTCACCACGCTCAGACAGAGTCAGGGTTGAGGCAGAAGGAAATGTTGTTCCACAGCACAGTTCAAGGTAAAATGCAAAAGAGATAAGGCTGATCTTCAATGTCTTTTTATTTCCTCTTTAAGCCTTTCTTTCCTTTGTAGCCAGTGCCTCTTCCTCTCCAGGAACACCTGGTAGTCTAGACCTCATTTCCTCCCTTTCTTTTGTGTGGCAACTGAAAGGGATTTGAACAGATGTTAATAACTTAATGCAAAGAAATGAAATGTCTAGTTGTTATTACTTAGATATGAAGCATCCCCCAAAAGCTCTGTGTGAGACAATGCAGGAATTTCAAAAAGTGAAATGTTTAGATTATAAGAGAGACAATTTGGTCAATGGATTAATCCACTTGATGGATTAATCATTTGAATGGATTAGTAGGTGGTAATGGTGGGCAGGTGGGGTGTGGCTGGAGGAAGTAAGCTACTAGGTGTGTGCCTTTGGGAATGTATATTTTATCTCTAGTTCATCATACTCTCTCTCTCTCTCTCTACTTTCTGGCTGCTATGAGGTGAGCTTTTTCCTCCACATGCTCTTCTGCCATGATATTCCAGAGCAGTAGATTCTGAGGACCATGGCCTGAACCTGTGTAAATGTCAGCCCCATATGTTTCCTCCTGTAAGCAGTTCTTGTCAGGTATTTTGGTCACAGCAATGAAAAGCTGATGAATAAGTGATGAACTTTTAGGCAACAGTGATTTCAGTTTTAGAAATTAGAGGGCCTTCATGTTGACCATTCTGCATAAATACTATCAATATCAAGAAAAGGCTACTGATCTGGAAAGTGTAGTAAGCAAAAACATTTAAGAAGCCTGGAATCCTTATCCCTTTTCATTGTTCTCTGCCTTCCCAATTGTCACTGTTGTTTCCTCATTTTAGTGGGAAGGAGAACCGCCGAGGGCTGGATTTCTCAGTTGATGAATGTAGACACATAGGAATAATTGAGTTCACTTCCCTAGTGTGAGGAAATGGAAGAATATTGAATTTTTCATGGAAATTCAAATGCATCTCAGTGTCTTTGTTCTGTAAGCTAATAAACAAATCCCCTTAATCTTGGAATAAATGAGCCCAGTATTTTTAGAGCACTAAGCAAAGTGCTTTTGCAAAGATTTCCTCATTCACCTTTCCACAGTTCTGTGAAATAGGGGGGCCTGTGTACCATTATTACCACCCTAGAGCTTAATTGACAGGCTTATGTCTACACAAGAGATAATGCATAGATCAGCATGTGGCTCATAAGGCATAAGGACTTAATATTTATTATCCTACCTATATTCTGAGGTCTGAGCACAAACTGAAATCTGTGATGACAGTTCCCTCAACCTTAGTTTTTGTGAGTCTCACATTAGAGATTGGCTTTTTCAACAGCTCTATTCAAACTGATTTTATGGATCTTATCTCTCTTTCCTGGTTTCATTTGTTTTTGCTTAAGTTGGCTCACTTGATCTCTCTTCCCGCTTCAGTTAAGATAAGACATACAGATGAATCATCCCCTCCACCTGGGAAAGGAATGAAGGGAAGACACTGAAAAGTCAAGATAGAAAAAAAGAAAGAAAGAAAGAAAGAAACCCTTGTTTAAGGGTTACTACTATCCACATTTGAAAAGAGACTGCTTCGATGATCAATCTACTCTGAATGGCTTTCTTAAATCCTAGCAAACAATTGAAATCCTAGTAGACAATTAAGCCAAAATAAAAGAAACTCAAAAAGTCAAGAATTAACTTTTCTATCGTATGTGGTAGCTGGAGAGAAAAAAAGAGGGAGAAAATATGCTGGGGAGAGGGGCCCTGAAAATAGAAGGAAGACAATAGAACCGAGGAGGAGACCAAAGAGAGAGGGAGACAGGAAACAAAAGGGAGAGGGACTTGGAATTAAACCAATGCTATTACATCGTGTGCATGTACAAATATGTCACTATGAATTCCACCACTGTGTATGATTAGTATGCATCAATTCTAAGAAATCATGATAAAAGCCCTCGTAAACAACAGGCAAAGAATATTCTAGTGAAGAATTCAAGAGCTGACATGTGAGAAGTCAAGTCCAAGGAGAGATGTGGTTGTGATGGGAAGGAAGTCTACTGAGTCATCTTTCCCCTCCTGAAAATCCTAACTGACATTGCTGATAAAATGAGTGTTTATTACTCCCTTTGTAATTTCTTCAAAGATGGTCTAACATCTGCCAGGGGGTGGGGTGGTGAAGATATTTGGAATCCATTGTTTTCATCTTCCAGGTTTTCGATGACACAGCAAGACCACCAGGGTCTCATTTTAGCCTTCTATCACCCTCACCCAGAAAGGGCTGCTTCTCCCACCCTGGGTGTCCACGGGGTACCATCATGATGAGTGTCAGCCTATAATCGGCAGTTTCAGGGTCATTCCCCAACCTCCTTAATCACCAAGGCATTGAGGTACCAAAGGTACCAAGATGTACAGTTAAAGGTACTTCAAGAATTCTTGAAGAGTTCAGAGACGGTGGAAGAAAGATCTATAGATGATAACTATGAAATTGGAGTGGGAAGAAAGATAGGTGCAGCAAGAAATGAATGAACCAAGTGCTGTGGGAACAGTAATCTGCATTTTTCTGCCTGGCTGATAGAATAAGGCTCTTCAAAAGAGGCAGCATTGGAGCTCTGCCTTAAAAGTTGAGGAGGAAAGGAAACCATTTGACCTCAAGCATATATGGTAGCAATTCTATTCTTCACCTTACCCCCAGCCTTTATTGTGGATTAGCATTCACATATCAGAGAAAACTTTTGATTTTTTTGTTTTTGGGGGGACTGGATTATTTGCCTTAGCATGTAATCTCTAGTTCCATCCATTTACCAGCAAATGCCATAAAGCCATTATTTTTTAAGGCTGAGTAATATTCCATTGTGTATATATACCACATTTTCTTTATCCATTCATCGGTTGAAGGGCACTTAGATTGGTTCCACAGCTTAGCTATTGTGATTTGAACTTCTGTCCACAGTGACGTGCCTGCATCACTGTTTTATGCTGATTTAAAATCCCTTGGGTATATACCAAGTAGTGGGATAGCTGGGTCAAATGGTGGTTCCATTCCAAGTTTTCTAAGAAAACTCCACACTGTTCCAGAGTGTTTGTACCAATTTGCAGCCCAACCAGCAATGTGTGAGTGTACCTTTTTCCCTAAGTCATGTATAACTAAAAAGAACCAATAGATTTTTTAAAAATGCTAGCAATTATACAGTAAAGTCAAGGACTGAAGAGAGGTCGAAGGGGATGGCTTGTCAACAAAACAGGGACAGACACATGAAGAGGAGTGCAAAACACGACAGGACATGCAACTGGAGAATGGGCTTGGACAAGGCCGTTGGGAGCTGAACCATGAGAAGCTGCAGCAACACTTAGGGCATAGCATGATAAAAATCATATTTCAGATTGTAGAAAATTATCTGGAATGTGGAAGATGAATAGAAAAGGAGCATTGAATGGTATCTTTCAAGATAAGAGATAACAAGAATCTGTGCTAAGGCAATGGCTTAAGAAATGAAAAGGAGGAGACAAAGTCAGGGGGCACTCTGCAGTAAGAAATAAAAGGACTGAGTATGATTATCATGCAAATGATAGAGAAAAGAAGAGATTAAAAATATGCAAAGGAATTGCAGGTCAGTGCCGCCATTAATAAGCTAATAACCACAAGGGGAGCGAGCATTGGACCAGGAAGGGAGAGGTCGAGGCCTGTGGTCATAGCTTCCTGCACATGAAGATTACTTTCTTCTCTTAACCAGTGCTTATCACCGTGCCAGTGTTTCTCTACCACAAACACATCTTCCCACCAAGCTTGGATGTAAGATATCAAATGAGTGATGAGCAGGGGGGGAAAAGATAAAACTGGGAAGGTACCATTAAAATAAAAACTTTAAACAAATTAAATTCAATAGCGTTTGAGTAAAGGATGATTTATGAATTACATAGCACTTAGAGACAGGAAAGGTTCAGAGAGCTTCACCCAGCAGCAGGAGTTGGGAGCTTTTATAGGCTGCATACAGAGGCAAAGTCGAGAAATCGCCTGGTTAGCTTTGTCGGAGGTATTTGCCGTATCATTCAGCTGCCTATAATTAATTGGCTGAAACTCGGTTATCGGTTGCAAAACATCCTAAGTTAGGCTTTGGTTTATTTATGTAGGCAATCAAAGTATAAGATGGCCTCAGCTGCTTATTAAATTTAATAGTGCAGGCAGGTAAGAGGCCACATCTCCAGGAATTGATTAAGAGCTCAACTGCCATTTGGAATGTCCTGGGCAAGAATGCAGGAGTCCAGAGTCCATAAGGCCAAACTAAGGAGCTACCATTGTTGATCTGGGATCCTAGGACAATGGGCCTGTGTGCCTGCCCTCTTTTCTGCTGCCTGCCAATAGTGGGAAGCCTTGGTGAGTGGATGTTGGTGGCAGCTGAAAGGAGGTTGGGAATTTGGGCACAGCTCCGCCCTTGACTGAGGGCCAGCCCGCTTCCTGCTAAAGCTACTTTCAGCCAAACTTGTTCTTTCTACAGACCATATTTTGTCATGCAATGAAAGCATTGTTTTTGATTATTGCAAAACATATTAGCACTTGCCGAAAATGCAAAAAATACAGGATGGCCATTTCCCAGTAACAGGTCCTAGAGAATATACAGATTGGGATATTCAGAGTGTGAAATTCCCTCAAGGCCCTTCTTTTCTCTATTTTCTTTGGAGAGAGAAGGAACGGGTGGTAGAAGAAGCTCTTTGAAGAGAGGAAAAAATGTGGGTGGAGAAAAGGGTGAGGGAAGGCAAATCAGAGAAGAGATGCAGGAGGAGGGAGGGGACAAAGGAGAGGACAGTGCTAAGCCCAAACACTGAGCTGATTAAAATGCTGAAGAGCAGATTCTACGAGAAGGGAGGGAAGGGAAAGAATGAAAATGGAAGAGGAAGAGCTGAGTTCTCCCAATATAAGATGAATGCAAAGGGTACAGACCACCCGTAAAAACAAATGTTGATTGTATGTTACTGTTGCACAAGAGTATACCTGGAGTGGATGATGGATGTGGTACCTGCACCTCTTTTTAGAAGGTACCTTAATGTTTTAGGTTGAATCTAAAATGCCTCCAAAATCTCATGGGCTAAAGGCTTGGTTACCAGCCAGTGATGCTATTGGGAGGTGATGGAAACTTTAAGATGTGGGGTCTATTGGA